GGGAAAGTCTTATTTCTGACAAGCACACTGATTTTGTCAGAGAAGCATGGTATCCATTGCGAATAATAAGCAAACATACCAACAACTCGTTGTTGGTATTTAGCGTCATGTGTATAAGGGAGTTCACGAATAGGTTTCATTCGTTCAGGATCTGGTTTGATAATTCCTTTAGAGACTTCGTAGTCCAGAAGGCGTATTTGTTTGGCTGCTATGATGCTTTTCTTGCAGTTAAGGGTAATTCCATATTTTCTTATTACTTCAAAGAAAGATTTGCGGTTCTGGTCATGCTCACTTTGGGTAGTCCCACAAATAGTGACGTCGATGTAAGCGTAGGTGCCACCTAGGTTCTCAGGCTTGATTATATGGTCAACAGTGCGTTGAAAGCATGCTACTCCGTTGGTTACACCGAAAAGAATACGACGAAACTGAAACAGCTCTCCGCATTCTTCAAAAGCCGTATACGGTTTGTCTTGCTCACTGATTGGAACTTGATGGTAAGCACTTAATAGGTCTAAGGTGCTAAGGACAGCATGACGGGAAATTTCTTCGATCATTTTATCCATTCACGGTAACGGATACGCGTCTAGGTATGTGAACCGATTAATGGTTTGACTGTAGTCCACTACCATGCGTCTTTTGTGGTTTGAATTTTTCGTGACCAGTACTTGAGCCCTCCAGGGAGAATTCGAAGGTTCGACTATACCTTCATCCAATAGTCGGTTAACTTCAGAGCGGATATCGATTCTGATTGAGCGCGAGAACAAGACTGAATAGCGTAGAATGAATAGCGCTTTACCTGCCTAAGAATAGACGTACATAAGCTGAAAATGAAGGCGAAAGCATGGTTAATACAAAACGATAATGGAGCACAAAGATGTGAGCACAAAGAATATTCATGACACTGGTAGATCCGGATTTTGGAAGAATTTACCGGGATGGTTTTCTAGAGTCTCTTCCAAATGATCCATCATCGGATGTGAATTCGTACTGGGACGAGATCGTCACTTCTTCGCACAGTGCTGAGAGTTTTGCTTGTGGCATGTCGCTACCAGACTCACTCAGGCACCGTATACCAGACCGAACAGTGGCACAGTTTTAATCTCCTAGAAATATTCCAGGTGGTCCCTAACATAACTTGACGTGAAGAATTATCAGACGTCACGTGAAAGTGAGCGTACGAACCGACCATGAAGCCTGGTAAACACAGAAAGCCAATGAAATAGAAGAGGTCCAGAAAGCCGGCATCCGAAGATTATCTCAGCTGATCCGCTCGACTGGTCCAAGGAAACCACCTGTGACCGAAAACACCAAGCATCAGAAAGGAGTGACCATCTTGAATAAAGAAGGACGCCTTGACCGATGTGCCAAAAACTTCGAACAACAATTGTCGTGACCACCAGCTGCCACTCACCTGGAGCCCATAGTTGAAGTAGAACCCTGGACGGTGAGCCTGGAACTGCCTACGGCCTCGGAGGTTTATGGTTGCATATGGTCTCCCAAGCGCCACCGAGCTTCGGGTCCGGATGACCGAATATTGCGGTGAAGTCCTCAGGCAGCGCTCCTCTGATCCATGGGGGCGAGATGGCCCAAGTGGTTATAGCGCGAATTTACTGGCCAGAATGTCCGTGGTTCGAACCCGATCTCTGCCTCTCGACTTCCCCTGTCTAGGCTTCAGCAGCCCGGTAGTATCTCAGCCCTCGTACAAACTTCGGTTGGGATGGCAGTTAGGCACTAAACGATTTTTTCTCTGATCCATTTTTTTGCATGTGGGAACTGGAGTCTGTCCAAGACAACTGGAGAGATTCGGTGATAGTGGCAATTTTCAAAAAAGGGACGCACAGTGAGTGTGGTAACCACAGGGCTATCAGCTTGAGCCTGGTCGTAACGAGATGTTGGTGTTACTTGTGCTTCGTGGCCGCACGACTCGAAAGCAGCGAGCGAGATTCTGACCTGATATGGGTTGCGTTGATCACACCTTCACACTCTGTCGGGTGCTGGAACAACGCCATACTTATAAACGACCTACAATTCTGGTATTCGTGGGTTTCCAAGGCGCATTCGACTCAGTTAACATGCCTGCCCACCAAGGAATGTCCCGCAAGTTAGTGAACATGATACGCTCTTTGTATTCTCAGACTTCCGGACGTGTGAGAGTGTACGGAGAGCTCTCCGAAAGCTCCCGTACACAAAGTGGTATCCGTCAGGGATGCCCACTCTCTTAATTCCTATTTAACTTCGTGATCGATGAAATCCTGCGACGCTGGAAGGTCTCCAGAACCCCGGTGTTCAAAAATCCTGTGATGAAAACCTTGTTGATCTGGGGGTATGCAGACGACATCTTTCTCGTCTTCGAAGAGAACGAGAGAGCGCATGTATGCAATTAGAGACACGGCGTCTCAACGGACATGTGTACCGAGCTATAGTGCGGGCTTTTTTTTGCATGGCTGTGAGATTTGGCCTGTTTGAACAGCGGAACTGAGGCGTCTTCAGGTGTTCAATAATCGTTGTCTCACGACAACAGCTCGTGTAGGTTGATGTCGGTTAATCCGTAATGGAGCAATCAGAGCACGAGTCCTCGGTTGTTTAACGGGTACTTCCGGTAAAGAATGTGTCTAACACCAGAAGGTGTGTTCGTTGGGACATGTGTTGCCTAGGCCTAACCATCGCTTGCTGAAATGAGTGCTGTTTTCCATGCCCAATTCAGGGTGACGGAAGCAGAGATGTGTCCAACCCTTGACCTGGTAGAGGGGTATGAAGGAGATTACGAAACGTTAGGGTGCTGTCGGTGCTATTCGCCTTGTAGGATGGGGACCGCGTGATCCCCACTGCGCCTGGTTGGGGACGTTGCAAAATATGGCTGCCATCTGATGTCAGTGGCGTTCTTGGTGTCAGTTTCTATTTAGATTGGGGGAGTGTCTGCAATTGAGGTGTTGGTTACCATCCACGTCAGAATGATTGCTGCAAGCTAGCCTTAAGTTCTTTCCCACTCCACCTTTATTGTTTTCTCCACAATAAAGCTTTCAAATAAATCATTTTGTGCGGCAGCGTAGCGTCGGTGTCGAACACTAATGTCATGCTGTTGTTGTTGTTGATGATGATGATCATGATGATATCGCATCGACTAGTTCTCACGTAAAACAGTCTCAAAGGACGTCAACACCATCCTAATGAGGACGACTAAGTTTAGGTTATGGGTGCTCATAAGGTGAGGGGCGAGATGGATCAAGTGGTCAGGGCGTGGATTTACTGACCGGAAGGTCTGTGTTTCGAACCCGACCTCTGTTTCTCGACTTCCCCTGTTTATGCTTGGACAACCTGGCAGTATCCCAGCCCTCGTGTTTCCTTCGGGTGGTATGGCAGCTAGGCACCGGAAGGGTGTTACAGCGGAACGACTCACGCTGTTATCCCAAGCTGTTCAGCTTGCTGAATTCAACATTCATCCGACCAGCAATAGCATGCTGGTCGCCGCCTGTTTGTATGCGGCGGCGGCTTAAGATCAGCTAGAACAAGTGCAAAGGTGGGACGCTTGAATGGTAGACGCGTTGTATAGACTACACCCCAAGCAGTGGCACCAAACAATGAAACTTTATACGCTTGGGCGTGGATACCACGGGGCATGTTTGGTATTATTGCTGCATATTTCACACAAACAAGAGGCCATGGTTGCAAATGGAAAGCCAAAGGAGCAAACGGTCTGCTACTGACCCTCCAGAAGAGTGGTTAATGTCTGAGCGTAATTCCCGTGTCTTGACTTCCCCTGTCCAGGCTTGGGCAACCTGGCAGCCCTCGTGGTTCCTTCGGGCGGCGTGGCAGTTAGGCACCGAAGGGGTGCTACAGCTGGGTGTACTTTCTTCTCACACATTCGGGGATGCAACATTCGGGGATGACAAACAGCTCTTTGACCTCACATAGAAAGGAGCCACGTCACTCTTAACTTCCTGAATATTTAGAATCGACGAATTGTAGACCAAACAATGTGCCTCTATAAATCATAACCATTATCTAAAGCAAGCACAGAGTGGGATAGTTTTCCACTCAGTTGAAAGATTACGATCACACCTTTGGGTCCTATTTCGGCTGGTAGGTGACAGTAAGTTTCACCCGGAGTCGCAATATTCAAGGTTAATACACGCGTTTTAGTAAGCTAAAGGGACCTTCACATGAAGGTTGTTCATCTCTCCTCTACTCTTTACGCGAGTTATCCGGTTCATTCGTGCGTCATACTGAGTTGCTCTCACTGTAACACGAAGTGGATTCTTTTTTAGTTTGACGAAACAAGTATAGTCACCGATAGGGGTATGGTAATTAGTAATTCAGACATCTTTCACCGTATTGCGGACGTCGCTGATTCTGGAGTCGAGTTAATAACATTCCATCTTCAGTCTTCTTTTAACACGAGGATATCCAACAGGGCCGTCTTCTAAAGCAAGTGTTTCTTTGCTTTCAACCTGTTAGAACGACTCTGTCCATCAAGATTTCACACCAGTTTATCCCCGAAACGAATGTCTTTTGGAATATCATATGTGAATCTGTCGGTCTAAGTTGACAGGAGGCGTTATTTCCATATCGTCATACCCTTAGCCAAATTTCCTTCTCTGACCGTATTCTACCCTTGATTTTGTTATTATTATTATTATTATTATTATTATTATTATTGTTATTAGTAGTAGTAGTAGTATGGAGTGCAACAGTAGCATTGGAACAGTGGATCTCGGCTACCGTATAGCCCTGCCAGTTTGATTTCAACAGATCCTCGTGATGATAAAGTCAAAGGATGAAAAGGTCTTAGTACTGGTGTACTGCAAATATTGTGGCCCCAATTGATAACGTGCACTCAGATGACATTACAGAAAATAGCTGAGTAACTTGAATTCTGTCTGAACTCCCTAATTTGAGAGAACTAGATGCTACAGGGCTAAAGGTCTTTGGTGAACTAATCAGCTAAAGCAACCAGCCAGGTGCGTGATTAAGCCCTACAGGAACTTGGGCCCAATTTTATTCGCATGCGCACTCTCTGGGTAAATGGTATGCAGCTCACGACAAACCAGGCCAAATACCAATATTCTTTCCACCGGTTGTTGGACCAGTTTATTACTGTGACCATTAGCCCACTTGAAAATTAAGTTCCTTTATTTATTTATTTATTTATTTATTTCCTAATGGTACAGCGCAGTTCAGGAACACAATCCACATTTCAAGGGGTCAACTTTTGGTGGAGTGTTTGATATACAGGGACTGGTTCAAACAGGAAGTCAATGGAAGCAAATCGGGACCCGTAGCGGTCGTTCTCTTACACAGTTACTTCACCCTAGAGCGGTTGTTTATAGAGGGACTCGCTGTATCACGTAATAGCTGCGTGTTCGTTTCAAACATTCTCACTGTTTTCTCCTAAACCTCTTCATTTAGGCGAGGTCACATCAGAAGAGCTGATCGCAGCAGACAAGCTTCGTGAGAAATTCAAGGACTTCAAAGCTTCTCAATCTCCGGATGCTCTTCTGCACCAAAAAGTAGTATCTTCTTGTTGGGACCCGTACACGGACTCGGATAGAACTGGTGTGGAGAGCATTGTTTTCGACAGTGAATCTGCATTTGTGGAACGTGTCGATGACAACAAGGACAGTGTCTGGCTTCTGGCAGTGGTGGCCAATGGTGTGAACGGCGCCAAGGGGTCTGGTGTCGAAACAGCGCATACCGATTCTGCTATCACCAGCGAGGTTTGGGGACACCTGGTCCATACCTACTCGCCGTTTGGTTTCAAGTTGGGTCTCATTGATTGTCATCGTCTTCGTAGGTGAGTAAGCATGTGTGCAAAAATTAAGTGGTGGAGTTTTCATGCTAAAGACGCGTCCCTCACGGGCCCTTTTAATAATTTCTTTCAAAGACAGTGTTCCTTTAAGGTTCGAGTAACTTAAAGTGGACGGACTGTCTTTCTCAGCACTGGTAGTAACGATTCAGATTCACTGCCGCACATCACTATCAATTCACTTGAATGGTGATGACGAAAAGAAAAACTATGTGGTCCTGACAAACTGCAGCTCGAAGCATCCGTGTTAGTAACCTAGAGAGTAGCTAACAAATAGGCCGTCCTTTCCTTTGTTTGTTCCGCAACCATATGTGGCCGGTCTACAGCCAGATACATGAAGTTCGCGTAAAGCCTGTTTAAGTGGCGGGTCGAATCGCCCCCATCTTATTCCACCACTGCTCGCCTTAATTATTCGGACTTACACCAGTAAAACATCGACTCATTCCCTCGGTATATTCCCCGGAGTAAACATGTGGCAAACATCCATGTTATCCGATCTTATATTCACTCAACGTGCATCGATACCGGTTGCCTCACCGACCATGTTGATCCCAATATACGAACTGGGCTGCCGCCTGCAATGGCAACCGCATATATTAAACCATACTCGTTTGATTTTACTCAGATTGTGATACAAGTATATATATATATATATATATATATATATATATATATATATAT